AAAAAGAAGTTCAAGGATCCCAGTGCACCCAAGAGGCCTCCCTCAGACTTTTTTCTTGTTCTGTTCTGAATATCGCCCAAAAATTAAAGGAGAACATCCTGGCCTATCCATTGGTGATGTTGCAAAGAGACTGGGAGAGCTGTGGAATAACACTGCCACAGATGGTAAACAGCCTTATGAAAAGAAGGCTGCTAAGCTGAAGGAAAAATACGAAAAGGATATTGCTGCATACCGAGCTGAAGCAAAGCCTGATGCAGCAAAAAAGAGAGTTGGCGAGGCTGAAAATAGCAAGAGAAAGGAGGAGGAGGAAGACGAGGAAGATGAAGAGGATGAGGAAGAGGAGGAAGATAATGAGGATGAAGATGATAATAATGAATAAGTTGGTTCTAGCGCAGTTTTTATTCCTTGTCTATAAAGTATTTAAACCCCCTGTACACAACTCGCTCCTTTTAAAGAAAAAATTTTAAATGTAAGGCTGTGTAAGATTTGTTTTTAAACTGTACAGTCTTTTTTTGTATAGTTGACACACTACCGAATGTGTCTTTAGATAGCCCTGTCCTGGTGGTATTTTCAATAGCCACTAACCCTGCCCGGTACAGTATGGGGGTTGTAAATTGGCATGGAACTTTAAATCAGGTTCTTGTTGGTGCACAGCACAAATTAGTTATATATGGGGATGGTAGTTTTTTCATCTTCATTTGTCTCTGATGCACCTTATAAGAACTCGAACCGCGGTCGACTACGTGGGAGTCCAGCGACATAGCCATTACGCTAACTGCTGGTCCCGGGGATGGTAGTTTTTTCATCTTCATTTGTCTCTGATGCACCTTATAAGAAATAATTGTTGTTCTGTTAACTGTATACCACTCTGTAATTGCAAAAAAAATAAAAGTTGCAGTTGTTTTGTTGACATTCTGAATGCTTCTAAGTAAATAATTTTTTATTAGTAAAAAGAAAAAGACTCTTAATGAAGATACTAATGATAAAAATATTTACATTATTTTTATCCCTAGAGAGGCAAAGAATGAAGTGAAGCTTTTTTTTTTTTTTTTTTTTTGAATTTTGAGTTTTGTTAGTTTTTTTTGTGCTCGCAAGAAAGACAGAGAGAGACAGAGAGACAGAAAGTGAGAAATCACTCCCCCAGGGGGGATGGCCACACAGCAATCCCTTCTCCTCCATTCTTCTCTCGGGATCTGGGGCACGCACACGTGCCTGGCTTGAGTTTAAGCCACCAGGTTCGGGACTCCAAACATGTCAGCCACATGGGAGTTCAGCGACATAGCCATTACACTGACTGCTGGTCCCGAAATGAAGCTTTTTAAAAATATACTGTGAGGCCAACAGATAGCATGGTGGTTAAGATGCTGGACTCCCACATGGCTGACTATAGTTCAAGTCCCAAACCTGGTAGTTTAAAAATCATGCTAAGCACATATGTGTGTGTATGCCCGAAATCCCACAAGGAGAATGGAGAGGGGACTACAGTAGGGTCATCCCCCGGGGTGGGTGGGAGGGTAATTTCTCACTTTCCCTCTCTCTGTCTCTCTTTCTGTCTCTCTGTCTCTCTCTGGACAATGTACATGCCTTATGATAAAAATATTAAAAAAAAAAGAAAGAAAGAAAAAAAAAATCCCACTGTTAACAATAGCAATTTTGTTCCCTGGGCTCAGACCTAGTTGGCGGCAGTAAGGCTAAATGCTCTAAGAAGGTCGGCATCATGGGTAAATATGGGACCTCCTACGGCACTTCCTCTGGAAAGTGGTGAAGAAAATTGAAATCAGCCAGCACGCCAAATATACATGCTTATTCTGTAGCAAAACCAAGCTAAAAAAGACGGGCTGTGGGGGTCTGGCGCTGTGGGTCCTGCATGAAAACGGTAGCTGGTGATGCCTGGACCTGCACCACCGCTTCCACTGTCACAGGGAAGTCTGCCATCAGAAGACTGGAGGAATCAAAAGACTAGTAGAAGCTCCATAGACATCTAGAATATCACTAGCCTACAATAAATAGATTAATTTATGAAACAAACAAAAAATAGTAATTTCAGTATTTTGTATTAATTTCCAAAGAGACTAAACAGACTTACAATTTTTTTTCTTTATTTATGACAGAACACATGCACAAAAGCCAGCCTGTGGCATGGTGGGGGTAATGTGGTTGAATCCAACATGGCCAACTGCATGATTCAAGTTTTGGATCTGGAGGCTTAAGAAACATGCCAGCCTTGGGCCAGTAGATGGCGTGGTGGTTAAGGTGCTGGCCTCTCACATGGCCAACTGTGGTTGAAGTCCTGACCAAGTGGCTTTCTCTCTCTCGCTCGCTCTCTCTCTCTCTCTCTCGTGAGTGTAAGTGCCCTATAGCGAGAAAAAAAAAAATAGTAATAATAAATAAAATTAAAAAATTAATTCGTTTTAAAAAGAAAGGAACATCCCAGGCACATGACCATGCATGCCCAAAATCCTTAAACGGAGGGAGAAATGGGGGAGAAGGTATTACAGCATGACCATGCCCTATAGGAGGTGCTTTCTCACTCTCTCTCTCTCTCTATCTCTATCTCTTTCTTTTCTCTCTTTGGTGCATATGCACTCTTGAAAAATTGGAAAACAAAAACAAATGTGAATAAGAAAGACAAAGAGAGAAGCACCCTTCATGGGGTCTGTCATCCCATGATCCTCTTCCTCAGTTCTCTAGCCCATCAGACTTGGGCATTCATTACATGCCCAGAGTGTTTCAAGCTGGGCCAAAGATTCAAACTTTAGTCCCATGTAGGATCTGATTTCTTTTGAGCAACCATTCATTGCACCATGGAGCCGGCTCAGACTTAGAAATTTTTCAAGGCTCCTCATCTGAATTTTTTTAAATAATTATTTTATTTAACTTTTAGTTATTTTTAATTTAACCAGAGAGAGAGGTGAGAAAGCAAGCTGCCAGACAGATATGAGATTCAAACCATGGTCAGTCATGTGGGAGTCCAGCGCCCTTAACCATCATGCCATCTGCTGACCCCCAGCCTCTTCATCTGAATTTTAACTCACTTATGGTATGAAAAGGACTGTGTGGCAAGCATTACTCTAAAAAGGCAAAGGAAGCAAGTAGTAATATGATAAAAATTTAAACTGGGAACTACAAATCCAGGAAGCTGAACTACCTCTTCAAGACTTTCTCTTCCTCTCTCCTCTTACCTCCTCTTCTTCCTCATCCTCCTCCTGGTCCTCTATCATTTTCCCTTTTCCTCATATGGATGACTTCATGGGCCTATGAGCAGATGCTACCATGTTCTCAGTTAGTAGAGATGATACGGTTTCATGAGGCCTGCAGATACCTTCTTCCTCAGGGACTGCCTATCCCAGCCCCTAGAACCAGACCCTCTTCACTGGAGCTTTCACCCAATATTCCGTTCCATTGCCCAATGAAACTGTGTGAACTCAAAGAACCCTAGAGCCACTGAGAACTCTGCCAAGTCACAGATTCCACCCTTGGTTTTGGGAGCACATCTGGACAATTCCTAGGGAGGTGAGACAGAAAGAAGATACCCCAACATCTCCCCTGGAACAAAGGCAGGGATTAAGAGACATGAGTACCAGGATCCTGTGAACTACAAGTATCCTTTGCATGGCATTCACTCCATAATCAAGATGTCCAAAATGGAAATCTGGACTGACATCAGTTATTGCACTTTATCATTATCGTAGTGACACTCAAATACTCAGTGTAAATCTTTCCACACATAAAGAGAGAAGGCACACTGCTAAAGAAATCATGAGAAATACAAAATCTTAAGTGACATCACTCTGTTAATAAAGTGTTAGTATTTCTAAATCATTATTTATTCATTTAAAATACACATTGATTATGTGTCTATGAAATGACTTTTGGAAGAAAGATGATACAGAGATCATTTTTTTTAAAGTACACACACACACACACACACACAAAACAGCTGCCCAGAGTTCATCTATGAGGGAAAAAATTTCATTGTGTTCACATCTGCCATCCAATTCCTTGTAAACTATTTGTCAAGACGCAGCCCATGGGCCAGTAGGTGGCACGGTGGTAAAGGTGCTAGACACCCACATGGCCAACCATGATTCAAGTTCCAGACCTGGTGGCTTGCTTTCTCACTTTATCTCTCTCAATCTCTCTCCCTCCCTCTCTCTCCCTCTCTCTCTCTCTCTCTCTCTCTCTCTCTCTCTCTCTCTCTCTCTCTCTCTCTCATAAGCACTTGTGCCCTATGGCAAACTTAGTAATTATTATTATTTTTTTTTTTGGAGAGGTTTTTTCGCTATAGGGCACGTGCGCTCGCCAGACAGAGAGAGACAGAGAGATAGAAAGCGAGAAATCACCCCCCAGGGGGGATGGCCATGCCGCAATCCCTTCTCCTCCATTCTCCTCTCAGGATCTTGGGCACGCACGCACATGCGCCCGGCATGAGTTTTAAGCCACCGGGTCCGGGATGCAAACCATGGTCGACTACGTGGGAGTCCAGCAACATAGCCATTACGCTAACTGTTGGTTCCCCAGTAATTATTTTTTTTGCCATTATGCTAACTGCTGGTTCCCCAGTAATTATTTTTTAAAAAAAGAAGTAGCCCATGGCCCCTCTGGAGCCTTTAAACTCCCCAACTAGATCCCAAGAGATACTACCTTACATACAGCACATCTTACATACAGTGCTGCATTTTTTGTTTTAATTCATGATAGAGAGAAGCAACCTCCACAGGGCTCATTAATGCAATGATCCCCTTCTTCTGGTGTGCCAGGCTCCTGGGCATGTGTGCATGTGCCTAGTGTGCTTTCAGGCTAACCAGGCCAAGGACTTGAACTCCTGTCAGGATGTTTTCTGGCTCCACAGTCCAGTATACTCTCAACTGTGCCATAGAGTCTGGGCCTAGTGCTACATTTTTGGAAATTTCATATTGCAAGAGAGAACACCAATATACTCTGAAGGCAAATGTATAAATTTGCTTCAGTGTCCCCATCACTGAGATTGAAGGGTACAGCATCACTCATACAGCCCTTAAAAAACTAGCATCAAAAGGAGTCCTTTATGAAAACCTAAATGACCCACAGAGCTCTTAATCAAAGCAAAAGGAAGCAGCAGGGGCCCATACACTAGGACCACTCTCGTTCCAAGTCCCCACCTGTACAAAGCATTGCTGGCCCTTGAGGTGAATGAATGTTGTTAAAGAATCAGACTATGAATTTAATTCCCAAATGTAGCAGAGGGAGAAATAAAACAAGAAAAAGAAAGGGGCACAGAGTTCACCTTCTAACCCTGCCCAGATTTCTTCAATCTGATTTTTTTAATATATACTTGGTTTTAAAAAAAAAAAAAAAAAAGACCTATAGATTTTCAAACATTTGAAAATAGAGCCTTAAAATAAAAATTTTAATAGTACCACACTAAAATCATCTGTCAGAAGAAAAAGTTCATTGGGGCCAGCAGGTGGTATGGTGGTTAAAGGCCCTGTACTCCCACATGGCTGACCACGGTTCAAGCCCTGGATCTGGTGGCTTGCTTTCTCACTTTCTCTTTCTCTCTCTCTCTGTCTGATCAAACTGGAAAATAATCATAAATTAAATAACGTTTTTAAAAGAGGGGAAAAAAAGAAAAAGTTCATGCCTTACAAAATTTTCCTTTTTTTCTTTTTTGCAATAGAGTGCATGCACTTGCTAGAGATTCAGAGACAGAGAGAAAGAGAAGAAAAGTGAGAAATCACCCCCCAGGGAGGATGGCCACACCACAATCCCTTTTCCTCCAGTCTCCTCTCAGGAGCTTGGGCACCCACAAATACAAGCCTGGTGTGATTCTCTAGTCGCCAGGTCCAGGACTCAAAACCATGGAGTCAGCTATGTGGGATCCAGTGCCTTAACCTCCACACCATCTGCTGGCCCCACAAATGTTTTATTTTAAATGTTCATCACTTGAGATTGAAAATAAATTTATACATCTTCCAACCAAAGCATTAACACAGTTCTTTCATTTTTTAAAGAATATTTATTTATTTATTTATTTATTTATTTCACCAGAAAGAGAGTGAAAAAGCAAGCCACCAGGTCGGGACGCAAAAAGTAGTCAGTCATGTGGGAGTCCAGCACCTTAACCACCACACCACCTGCCAGCCTACTAACTGCTCTTAATGTCAGGTTAAGTGGTCAAATATTACCCATATTTGTTCTATGGAGTTTAAGTTTTTTGTTGTGTGTGTGTGTGTGCCTTTTTTTTTTTCCAATCTGTCAGATGGTGTGTGTATTTCAGAGACAGAAAGAGAAGAGGGGAAAAGCATCCTGAATGGGGCATAGTCATGCCACAATCCCTTCCCTTTCATTTTTCTATTCTATCAGGATTTTATACATGCAGGTAACTCAACGTGTGCTTCAGGCCACTAGTTTTGAGAGTCAAGCCACGCAGTTGGCCATGTGGGATCCAGCTCCCTTAACCACTAGGCCACTGAGTCAGCCCAGTTCTGTATTTTTTAAAACTTTACTTTTCCCAAAATCAACAGATCTAATAGTAAAACTTACAAATACAAAGTAATTTTTTTTTTTTAATTTTGCCACAGGGTCTGTGTGCACTTGCCAGAGAGAAAGAAAAAGGGGGGGGGGGCAAGAAATCATGGTCCACTGGACATGGCTGTACCACAATCCCCTCTTCTCCATTTCTCCCTTTTGTTGAGATTTTTTTAGGCATGCACGTGCATGTGCGCAGACACACACACACACACACACACACACAGCATGTTTATCAAGCCACTGTGGTCCAACACTCGAACTACACGGTAAACCATGTGGGATCCTCTTGCCTTAACCACCCTGCCAGCGGCTAACCCAGGTAACTGATTTCTACTGAAAGAATTACTTTCTGTGAAATTTAGGAAATATACGGGTCACACCCCCATGGCACACAGCATATTAGTGGCGTCCGCCACCATGGCTGGGCTATCTTGCTGTCTTGTGTGTGTCACTTTTAGGCTGCTTTATTATTACTACCTCAGAAAGACGGTGGAGGTAGGCCATCCTTCTGTCTGTCCTCTGCTCCCTTGATTCACAATAATGAGCTATGCACATATCGTTACTCTTCCACCTGCAGGGACCGTGCTCACAGTAAGCTCCCCTACCTTAGAGCCTTACTTTAGCAGCAGCCTCAGAGGAAATCAGAGGGTAAAGTGCAAATGGCTGCTCGCACAGAACCAGTCAGAGCCCATCAATGTCATCGTGATGTGAAGATGACAAGTCTGGCGCAAAATACCGCTGGCAGTGTCTACACGGTCATGATGGAAGGCCCCAGTATTGTATGCTCGAGTGTCTAAAAAGCAAGCTGTCTCTACCACCCAAGTATCATTCACTATAAATAAATGTACGCATAGCATTGTAATTACACAGACAAGGCAGTACAAGGAAAGCACAGATTTAGGGTTAGACGTTAGACCTGTCCAGGTGTGATTATTGGCTCTACCCTGGACCCTGGGCAATTCTCTATTTTCTGATGTTAACAATGAGGATTCTAAACACCTCCCAGGACTGTTGGAAGGATGTTAGTGAGATAAAACATACACAACTCAAATCAGGTTCTATGAATGCAATTCCATGAGATATGAAGTTTTAAGATATGGGATGAATCAGTAGATTCATATAGACGGAGCTGCACACCTCAGTTCCTCAACATCCCTTTTTCATACCAAAGATTCTTTGCCTCTTTGGAAGACAGAAATTATGCCAAAATAAAAAGGTAATAGAAAATGTTGGGGCCAGCAGGTGGTGTGGTGGTTGAGGCGCTGGCCACTCCCACATGGCTAATCATGGTTCATGTCATGGACCTGGCAGCTTACTTTCTCACTTTCCCTCTGTCTCTCTCTGATCAAGTTAAAATGAATTAATAAAATAAAATAAATAATTCTTTTTTAAAAAATGTTAACTGCCAGGTCCGCAGGTGGCATAGCGGTTAAGATGCTGAACTCCCACATGGCAGACCACTGTTCAAGTCCCAGACCCAGTGGCTTGAAAACCACCCAAGGAGGGTGTGTATGTGTGCCAAAATCCCAAGGGGGAAAATTGGAGAAGAAGAAATTGCAGCATGGCCATCTCCCTAGGAGGTAATTTCTCATTTTCTCTCTCTGTCTCTTTCTCCCACAAGTGCATGCACCCTATGGCAAAAGCCAAAAAAAAAAAAAAAATGTTAACAGCCTTTTCTTCTCCCATCTTAAATGCCTTGACCTCTTTTCCTTTCACACGTAGGCTCTTCTAACTCAAAGGGCTCCTCAGCATGAAATACATAACTTACTGTCACAGAGGCAAGGACCCCAGCTCACCAGGGGGCAGGATGTCTTAGCCAACACAGTATGACTTTGGCCAACATCTGGGGATGCTAGCTTCCTCATGAGTAAAACAGAGA